GATTAGCACCAACTTGAAGCACCTATACCGACAGTCACGCAGCAATTTCCGCGGTCATCAGTCCGACTGTTGTTGCTCCCGAATCGCTTATTCAACACTTGGAATAGTTTACCAGAGCGTGTGGTTAATGCTGCGGTAGTCAATAGATTCAAAGTGAATTACAATAGGTGGAACAGTAAACAAACTTTATAGCTATGAACTTTTTGTTTCTCGTTTATGTATTTTACGCTTCTTATCCAGCAGACTACATTTTCTCTTTGCACATGAGCTCATAATATTGACTGTGCTCATTTCTATTTTGTAATAACAACAAAACATCGCTTGATCAAAAAAATCTGGACCAAAATTCATTTCTTGAGTAAATTGAGCACGTAGATCATAGATACGATAGCAATTTTTCACTAAGACAGACTAGGTCCTAACTTCATTACCTAACGGTGTTCCATATTATGCGACAAAATGATAGGGTTGTAGAGGCTCAAATGAACATTTTCCTTATACCCCTGTGGAATATGCCGTTTGGCTGCAGCAAAAAAAAGACAGTTTTGAACAGCTTCTACAGAATGCTCAAGTGTCTCCACTTGCTCAATAACAGCTGTGCACGATTGTTCAATGTCGGCGAACTGTGGCATACCCGGTATGTCCTGAACATTGCGGACGCGCCATCACCTTAGACTCTTTGGTTACGAGTGTACACGCTCAATAGCTCCAGATAAAATATCATGGGTCAGGTCTGACCGCAGGCCAACAGGGCCACACTCGGCCTATCCACCTATTTGGAAATTGTCGTCCAAATACTGCCGCACTTGTAAAGAAAAGTGGGCTGGACCGCCATGGTGTTGAAACCACATGTTGGCTCTTATATTCAGTGGCACATTTTGTAATAGTTCCGGTAGCACATGCTGTAAGGATCGACCATAAGCATGCCCATCCAAACGTGGTGGAAGCAGATATGGCCCGATGATATGCTCGTCCACAATGCCGCACCAGATGTTAATTGAAAACTGATGTTGGTCTCTATGGATGGCTATGGCATGAGGGTTTTCTTCATCCCAAATGTGACTGTTATGGCTATTAAAATAACCGTCCTTTGTAAAACAGGACTCGTCAGTGAACAAAACGTAGCGACCAAAGTTTGGTTGCCTCAACTCCTGCTGCAGCCACCAACGGCAAAAACGTCGACGCGGCAGATAGTCTGCTGGACCCATGGCTTGGACTTTTAAAAGGTGGTACGGGTGTACGATAACAAAAATGTAAACACAGCAGGCTTTTTTTACAAACCGGTGAGACCATGAAATGTGCTAGACTACCTATTCAAAATAAGGCTTGAGACGAATTAACTTTTTTTTTTTGTATTCGTATTGAAATCAGCGTCTTAAATTACTCCAATGAACTGACTTTTGTTCACTTGCAACAACCAAAGACCAAAATAGTAACTTGTCATTGAGAATCTTGAGAATCGTTTCTTTTGTAGCACAAATTTGATGTCATTTTTTAACTAATATGGGCGGGAGGCTGAAAGAGTGTCATGAATAGAAATTCGCAACGTTGTAGCATTTATTGTTGTCCATATTCGAAATGAGTGTCGCAAATTACTCCTGCGTACAGTGTCATTGGCTTGAACAATGGGAGCCGAAAATGGAAATTTTGCATTGAGAATCATAAAATTTATGGCAGGAACGAAATTTGTTGTAGATGATGCATGTATCAGCCGTAGTCAACCAAAAACGAAAGATCTTTATAACGTGATTTTTGCTAAATTATTTCTGCTTGAATTGCAGCCACAGTACCTACCTTTTATTATCTAAGCAGCACTAAGCCACAAACAGACCTCTGTATTTGAATAATTATTCACTTAGCAATTCATTGCTAATTCTCTCATTTTAAAATTACTCATTCGTATACATAGGGATTGAAAAATCAACAGTATGCGATTATCAAAACAGATTTGGTTTATGCACATACGTTAAACGATATGTACACATTAATATAGACATCATATGTATAATACAACGAAAGGAAGTAGCGCTCACTGTCTCACACGACTCAGATTACACGAATGTGTTTATACCACCAACATATGATCGAGATATTTATTTTCACTACAATAAACAAAAAATCTGTTGCTTACGCCTAATAAAGTTGTTGGATTGTTTTTGAATCTAATAAAAAGTATTTATATAAATGAAACTGTCTGAAAAGTTAATTTGTTTTCTTCTTCGGTCTACATCAGACGACTCCTAGATTGAATTATACTAAGTGACATATAAATCCGAACACCCAGTTTAAATGGTTTTATTTTAATAAAATTTTGTATAAGTACTTAATGAAGCATAATAAGTAAATGATAAAAATTTCAAAATGATTGCACTGCTTTAAAGCCCTTTGACCTTTAATAATGTGTGGATACACCCTGATGTGCTACGCATTCTCCAACGCGCCTAGGCATGCTTCTGATCAGGTGGTCAATGTCCTCCTGTGGTATCTCATTCCAGGCAACCACCAACTCCTCTCGAAGTACTTCTAGAGTCTGAGGAGGACGTTGCAAATTGAGCAATCTCCTACCCATCATATCCCACACGTGCTCAATTGGGGATAAGTCGGGAGATCTTGGTGGCCATGGTAACAATGTGACATCCTTATGTTGAAAGAAGTCTATTCTGACTCTTGCAACATGTGGTCGGGCATTATCTTGTTGGAAAGTTGGATCTGCCAGGGTGTCAAGATAGGTTAAAAGATGGGGTTCTAGAACTTCGGGGATATAACGCTGCGCGTTCATGTTACCTCTGATTAAGATTAAAGGTGACCTGGAACCAGAAGCTATAGCACCCCAAACCATAACTCCAACAGTGTGATGAACTTGTCTTTCAACAAAAAACTGTGGATTCCTCCTTTCACCACGTCGCCTTCTAACCCTGGCACGACCATCGTGCATGCCTAAACAAAATCGAGACTCGTCACTAAAGACAATGCTGTTCCATTCCTGATCAAAGAGTGACCGTTGTCTGCACCACTCGAGGCGATTTCGTCGGTGTTCTCGAGTTAAAGGGAGGACCCAGTGTGGCCGGTATGAAAACAAGCCAAAACTTATCATTCGTCGGTAAACACTTCGCATGCCAATAGGTCTTCCGTGTTCTGCAAACTATTCATTTGCAATGGACCTGGTAGTGGAGAAACGGTCCCTTAAGGCCAATAATCTTAGGCGGCGATCTTCACGGTCTGTTGTTCTACGGCGGCGTCCAGTGCCCGTTGCTCTTTGCGTACGGCCTTCTCGAAGCCATGCCTGACAACACCTAACCACAGTGTCTACACTTGTTTGCACTCTAACTGCAATTGCCCGAAAAGAAAGCCGAGCTTCCCGAAGTCCCACTATACGGCCCCTATCAAACTCACTAAGTTGACGAAATCGTACAGGTCTCCGTACTCTAGGCATCGTAACCGATCGTAAAGGATGTCAAGAACCAAAATCCGCCAACGTTGATTCTTTACTGCGGCTGAAATATTCATTTTTAGAGCGTTAGTGAATTAAAAAAAAGCAGTATAAAAACCGGAATGTCCAACTGATAAGGCTGAAAATTTTTTCACTTGTTATTTACAGTAAGATAAATACATTCACCAACTTTTATTAAAATAAAACCATTTAAACTGAGTGGTCGGATTTATATGTCACATAATTAATTTACATTTTTTTCCTAAAACTTCAACACCTCGAGTTTTTGTAAGGAAACATTGTTGGACCATAGTTTATAAAGCAAACTAACATTAATTTTTCATTTGGATTCACACCCTCAAATATTCGCATATCATTAAGGAACACCCTGTGTAGCTTTGTGTCTATGTCTAGGGCGCCATTTGAAAAAAGCGATCTATACTAGCTGTATGTAAAAAGTATCTTCTCGTCTGCTTTCCTTATTCAAAACTAACCCTCCTTAACAAATCTGCATGTTGCCAGGTTCACAATTGCGTCACAAATTTGTTTAACAAACAATGTGATGGGACTAAATCAAAATTACCTCACGACCGTCGTGACAGCCCAATGTTGAGGTATGTACATGACCTTTCTTAACGACTATATTAACACCTACCAATAAAAGGACCTTTTTCTGAAACGCAAACCTAACGCCGAAATACCGATGGGTACCGTGGGGCCATAGGGGGATACAGGGGAAGAGGAAGAAGAAGAACACTTGTGCATGTGGTATGCGCATATTCTGGCCCCGCCTCAGAGATCCGCCTGGTGGTACTTCCTCATGCGACAGTCTGGGACCATCTAAAACCTCAATGAACAATCATAACATCCATAGATAAGATAAACATTCTTTTGGGACAATATTAGAACCAGCGCAACTCACGATGTATGGAAATTCTTATATGTTTTCGCAGAAAAACACATATAAATTCAGACATGGTGGATCAAAACAAATGTCAAGCTTGCTTAGTCTACCTGGTTCAAATTTGTCTGAGAGATGAGAATAGGGCGTATGTAAATACAATATTTGTCCTAAGCCGCGGTGTGCACACAGCATTACGGTATCGCATTTTATGACCTGATTCTAGTGTTTACAGAATGCGAAATATACTTTCCTAGAATAATGTAGGATGACCGTAACACGAAAACTGTTTCCACTGTTTTCCTGCTCCAGATATACCGCTGCCGGAGCGCATCTTTGTTAGTTTAAAAGGATTTATAAGTTGAGCTGCTTACTCTAAAAACATCTGTCGGTGTACTCTGCTGTTCTTACGTCAAAAGGGGGATTTGTAGCTACGCTTGCGTGAAATAATACTTTATAGTGAAGTATGCTGCAATTATAGTTAGGCATAACTATAAAAGATTTGCAATATGACTTACTGCATGTTGAGATATGTCCATGAGTGCATAGTAGCCACCAGCAGCACGTGTGTTGATTTAGTTGTTCATTCGTATTGACAGTGTAAGGTGCGGACTATGGCATCGTGGTCACGTAGGAAGTTTTACGTTATAACTTTACGCGTGGTTTAAGCATAGACCAGTGCTTAGAAGAAATGACGCTTGGATTAAAGGATGAGTGTCCCCATCGTAAGACTATATTTAGGTGGTACAGAGAATTCCAAAGGGGCAATTTCACTCTGGAAGATGCTGAGAGGAAAGGAAGACCGAAGGCCGTGAACGTCAGTAACAGAGGAAAGCATTACTGTTGTGAGGAAAATGCTTAACGAAGACCGGAGAGTGACATACCAACAGATATTTGAGACCTTACACCTTAATGCACCAGCAATTTATTCAATTCTGCATGACTATTTACACGTAAGGAAACTTTGTTATCTCTCGTACGACTTGATATCGAAAGATGCTGAAAATGTTTGATAAGGGGCAATCTCGATATGTGAACAGCATCGTGGCAGGTGACGAGACCTGGCTCTATTATTACAATGATTATGACATACCAGTAGCTGTCAGAAAATTCCGATCTGTTGAGATAAAAATGATAGCTGTATTTTTCAAATTGAGCGGGATTTAGATGGCATACGATCAGAGCTACTCAAAAAAATTGCACCTGAAATTAGAAAACCACTAACATTTTTAACAAATTTGATCATCGAATCTGGGGTTTTAACAGACCATTACAAAATAAGAATAATAACACCGATTCATAAATCTGGCGACATAACTAATACCAGCAACTGTAGACGAATACCATTAATATCTAATTTGGCAAAGATAGTTGAAAAAATCATAAAGGCTAGGCTCATTAGTTTTTTCAACAAAAATAAGCTTATATCTGAAAATCAATTTAGATTTCAAAAAATAAATCTACTCAAGACGCGGTTTCCTTGTTGACTTCACAAATTCATAAATTAATAGAGAAAAGTAAACATTATGCATATTCTGAGACCTAGCAAACGTGTTCGATACGGTGGATCACTCGCTACTATTAGAAACTTTATACGATGCAGAAATTAGAGGAAACGCTCAAAACCTTATGAGAAGTTACCTGTTTTACAGAAAGCAATATGTTCAGATAAATGATTCCATAAGTTCAGAAAAAACTGTGACTTATGGTGTACCACAAGGGACGGTTTTAGGCCCGTTATTTTTTACTGTGTATATCAAAAGCATACTTAGCTTGAAGTCGCAAGGCACAATAATATGTTTTGCAGATGACACAGGGATACTTTATTCTAATAACAATTCCTGGGATAATCTTAAAGAGACTGTTGTAAATGACATTATTTTAATTTCAGATTGATTTAGACACAAAAATATATAATACACGTAGCCATGTGTCAAAAAACAGCACAACGGGCTGGATTTATTGTTAAGTTTTTTTTATTTCTTACATCGTGAACAATCTCACCACTTTCATGACGTAAGAAATAAAAAAAAATTAAATTCGTTCTGCCTTTTGACACATGGCTACGAATTTTAATCACTGCCACCATGGATAGAGTTTTCAATAGGTTTCTACGTGTTATCATTATCTTAGTTAATAACATTTAGCAAAAATCTCGCCTACTTTTCTCCTGATGATGATGAAAGCTGTCCGCTCGTTGGGAGCCGCGTTTGCTCACGTTAGACCAAAAACGTGTTCGAATGAACATGTCAAACGCCCTGTTGGCGCAGTTTGGGTGCAAGTAATCCGAATTTTGGCGCCGAATAATTACTGTAGATGAAGCTTGTATACACCGTTATACGCCCGAAACAAAAATACAGTCCGAACAATGGACTGCAAAGGGGGAACATGTTCCTAAAAAGCAGAAACTGTTTTTTCGGGTGGGAAAGTGGTGGCGACTGTTTTTTGGGATAGTTACGGAGCTATTTCAATCGATCAGTAGTCCATATTTATAAAAAAAAGTTTTACCTTTTGCTTTCAAAAAATAAAGCAATTCCTTCAAAGTATGTGCATAAAAAGAAGTGAAGGAAAAGGTGTCGCTTCTGTAAAGTAAAAGGTGTTAACGTTTTATTATTTACAAAAAGAAGCATTTGCTTAAAAACTAAAGGACTTGCTTCTAAAAAAGGAATCTATGTTACAGCAACTTTTCTCATTTTATCATTAGTTGTCCCGGCATCTTAGAGACTGCGTCTTAAAATTTGTGCATTTTCGTTGAATAAAATCTATTTGTAAGGGCTTGTTTAAGTGATCTTTGGTTGATTAGTCGCAGTATTGTGTTAGTTATGGCTAATGTGGTGCATTTACGTACAAGAAAATACTACAAACCAAGACGTACACCTCGTAAGTCAGATTTCAAGACGTTGTTTAGATTTGAGGAGGAAACTGTGGTGTGGTTGGCAAATTACTTTCTTGGCATGGATTTCGAAACTCGTGGAGCAGCCCAGTCACCTTTGCAGAAAATGAAAATATTTCTGCGGTATTGTGCGAACCATGGATTTCAGAGCGGAATAGCTGAAGAATTGGGCTGTTCGCAGCCCACAGTGTCAAGAATATTTCATGACGTGCTAGAGCGAATTGTACAACAAGCCAGAGAATTTATCAGGTTCCCAAATACAGAAAATCAAATTATGCAGGCCAATGAGAAATGGTTGACCAGGTTCCGTTTTTCCACAGCTATTGGAGTTATCGACTGCACGCATATTCGTCTTGATGGAAAACCAGCCCAATTTGGAGACGAATATGTAAATCGAAAACGTTTTGTCAGTATTCATGTACAGGTTACATGCGACCAGAATTCTGTTGTAACTAGTATAGATGCAAATTGGTCTGGATCAGTCCACGATACTCGTATATGGAAAAATTCGGCAGTGTGTGAAGTCAAAGACAAGAAACACTATTCTTCTAGGGGACAGTGGGTATGGTATAATGTCATGTCTTATGACTCCTTACACTAACCCCCGCGAGGAATATCAGAGGGTCTTTAATAGGCTGCTTACATCAGAGCGAGTTGTGATTAAGGATACATTTGGGCAAGTAAAGCGGCGATTTCCTATCCTGAAGTATGGATGCAGATTAAAACTGACCAGAATTCCAAAAGTCATATTGCATGTGCTGTGTTGCACAATATAGCTAAGCAATTAAGAGATGAAGATATTCAAGAAAATGACGAAGATGAAGAAGAGGACTTGCCATTTATAGAGAATGAAGATGTAGATGCTATTCGCGCACAAGGACAAAGGCGGTGAGAGGAATTAGCTCGTCTTATTACCAATAACAATATAGGTGTATAATTAGGATTAAAACTTTCATGTAATGCTATGTATATGTCGTTTACTTCAAACGTACAAAGATGTATTTACTTAAACTAAAAATAAACTTACACCTTTGAGCTGGAAAAGAAACGTTCAATTTTTTTTGTTATAAATGATACATATTACATATACGTCTATTTACAAGTTTTGGTAAATATTATCTCTAACAACAACATACTCTTGCGGGGCTTTTTCGTTTGATGCCTCGTTTAAATTTTTTAGCTTGGCAGAGTAATATTGCTGTTTGAGACGAGCAACTTTCAGTTGTTCAACTAAAATTAATAGTTGAAGCTGGGTTGTCGTTAACTGCCTCGTCTCGTCAGACTCTTGTTTGCCCGAAGTAAAGGTAGGCTTCGGAGGAATTTTTTTTGCAGCAACCTCTTCAACCGATGTGTAGGATCGCTTTTTGTTAGCTACTTCTTGAGGCATAACCATCTGATGAGCGTCGTTCTCCACCATAGTGTCATCCTTTGAAGTAGGTAAAGAAGTTTGACTTGCCACGCCAATTGCAAGAGCCCCTGATACAAATATACATGCATGATAAGTACCTACAAGGTAATAGTAAAGACCTGAATCTATTTCTCACCTGGTACCCGCATCCACAGCCTTTAACATAATCTTCTCCCAGGACAAAAGACGAATGGGCTTGTTCCCTGTTTTATTTTTGTCAGTTTTATTTTTCAGTCGCGTTTTCATATTGTTCACTTTTTTCATAAAAGCTTTAATATCCATCGCCTTGCCAAATAAAGTAACGTATTCCTTAACGATATCAGTTAATGCAGCAGTTTTTTTCTCTTTCATCGCTGGAACTTGAGATTTCTCGAGAATCTCCGGAAATGCTTGGACTTTTTCAGCGAGAAACATCATCTCGTTAGGGGCATCTTCGGTAACCTCCTGTTCACTATCGGTGTCAGACATTTTAAATATTTTATTCACTTTAAAATAGCTGCACAAATAAGTTAGGTGGATCTTCTTTACATCAATTGACGTGCGAGCTGCTTTTAATTATGAGACAAATAAGATCAACCCCATCAGTTACAGACCACATACGCGTTGATTGCACGCTGCAAGTCATATCTGGTCGAAATCGCTAATCTCGGTACCTTTTACTTTATTTTCCCGAAGCATTTGCTTGCATGGAAGAGGTAGAGATTACGAATACGAATTAGGGCAAAACCTTTTACTTCTACCTTTTGCATGTACCTTTTACTTCAAAGTAAATGCTTCATTGTTATAAATACGGGCTATTGACCAGCTGAAGGCAGAGCTTCTGGGAAAGCGGCCACATTTGCAGGAAAAGAAAATCCTGTTTCACCAAGACAATGCACCGTCTCACACCTCAGCGGTTGCCATGGCGATAATCCACGAATTACGGTTTGAACTGCTCGACCATCCGTATTACTCACCAGATCTAGCCCCAAGCGACTTATTTTTGTTTCCTCATCTAAAAATTGCGCTCGTGTACAATTATTTTGCAGAGAAAAAGGCTGAGTACTATTCGAACGGGTTACAGAGATGAGAGCATCGCTGGGAGACTATGTTGCAAAATAATAAAATTAAAAATCAGAAAAAATTTCTTTTATCTTTGTTGGGTCGGAAACTTTTCAGACCACCCTCGTAGATAACAGCTAATCGTACATAGATGTCAGTTCTATGCTATGTAAGATACGCTTGAACTATCAGTATTGGTGGAGAAATGTGATTCCAGGTGCATAACAGTATCATTTAAAGCAACGATTATTATAAAAAAAATATATTTACAGGATATGGGAACTCAATGGAGAACGGAAGCTGAAATTGCATTGGAAGAAATGTGTGGAGCCCATCTGATGTTTTACTTTTGGGAAGCTTTGCATATTACGCATAACGCAATCGTAAAATAACTGCTACTATAATGTAGCTTCGCTATAGCAATCCATTGCGTGCTTGTATACAAAGCCGTACGGCATTATTTATGTATGCTGCAACAACAATGTAGCAAATTAATTATAGCAAGTGATAAAATAGGAGG